TTTCCCCCCCCCCCCTCTTTCTTCTAGGGCCCGGCGCGACACCAACGCCACCTGGTGGCGGCTCTGTATCCGTGTGCACTTCCTCCTCTCTGCCTCCTCACACACACACACATACCCCATATACATACACCCACTAACACATAGTGGGTTAGAACCCGCTTAGCTATTCTATTTATTTATAAACACACTCCCTAAAACATTTAAAATTTATTTTAATTATTGTATGATCCCCGCTTATTTTGTTCAATTTATTTCATTAGACCGTTTCTATTAAAAGATGGTATTTCACAAATTTTGTTACAATTATTGTATGATTAACTAACTGCACAAAAAATTATGTAACAAGGAATATTCTTTGAAAAATTATAATAAAATCGCAATTTCCAATTCCAAAAACTAATAAAACATTAACTTGTAACGATGCACTCCGCAATGCATCGTTCCGACGATACCAGCCGCCAGAAACACTTCATTTCGCGATATTAGAATTACCGCCGTCGACAGTAGCTATCGCCGCTCCGACCGAACGCGTCCGAAGATCGCCGAACGATCTGCGCTTCGCGCTATCCGCCGCTCCGACCGAACGCGACCGAACATCGCCGATCGACAATCCCCTCCGCAGGAATTGCCAACCGCCAAGCGATAACGGAAAAGACCGTAATTAAACGAGCGGGAGCAATAATTAGTATATAACGCGTAATTATTGCTCCGGGAGCTCTCTTCTATCCTGACCGCCGCTCCAGTACGAATCCTGCTCCGATCCTAGCTCCGGTGATCCGACGCGAAAACGGGGTCAAGTGTTCTTGGTCTCCGTCAAGCTTTCTTGACAGTCGATCACCAAAATTCCTGATCCGCTGGCCGTACGACGCGAAAAGGGGGTAAAGCGTTCTTTGCCTCCGTCGAGCGTTCTCGACAGCCGTACGCCAGTATCCTAGAACTACCGCACCGACGCGAAAAGGGGGTAAAGTGTTCTTCGCCTCCGCCAAGCGTTCTTGGCAGTCGGGCGTTAGGGTATCCGTGCCTTACATTTTGCGAAGCGTCCCTCATTGCATAGAGGGAACGCCCACCGCGTTATCCGCGCCGCGACCGTCATCCGCCGCTGGCGTATACTTCGCGTACGCGTATCCGTATTGTTATACCGCCGACCGCGCCTCGCGTCCGTCTTGGGATTCGGAGATTTCCCCGCGTTTTCCGCCGTACTCGCGCCGTAATTTACACGTATAGTTTTTCTGTTCGTGCTGTCCGTAATATCTTAGTTTTTCTGTCCGCGCCTTGTTGTTTTTCTGTACACGTCTTGTATACGTTTCGTCTACTTGCCGTCTCGACACGACACACATATACCTGCGTATACCGACACACGACACACACCTGTTTGTCATTCACACACACACACACGCACACATACACACACCTTTGTAAATATACACGATACACGCAATAAACGTTTCTGTCTTTCGTCTTAAAATACTGTTTAATCATTTGTTTCTGCATTCTCTCTTCCCGTGCGAAACTTTTTCGCGACTAGCGAAATTTACGACGAGCTGATCCGCGCGGAAATTAGGTTGTTTCAAACTGATATGAAAAAATTTATTTATCAACTTTACTTTGTAACTACCTGATTTTTATACTCGGACTATAGCTCGTCGGTAAAAAAAAAATATGCGAGTCGTATAAAAAAGGTTCGGTGGGAGGAGTATTCGCGTCGGATCGGAGACACGGAAATGTTCGGAGAAACAACAAAAAAAATATAAAATAATGGTTGAGTAGAACAATCACGATTTATTACAAAGACGATATAAAGATATAATAGTAATATACATAGAAGAATAAAATAAGAAAATGACGCTATATAATAGAAGGACGGAAACGCGAGTAATTACAAAGATAAAACAGAATAGTCGGACGAACGCGGACAGTACAGCGATACTTATTTCTAAATGCGCGAATTATTTACAGAACGAGTCGCGAGGCGTCAGTAGCTGCCGGGTGTACGAAATTCGGCGATCGGCGGTGTCGGAGATTCGTACGACGACGAGGAGGTACTAGTTACGTCGCTCGTTTTTTTCGGCATTCGGTTGATTAACGGCGCGGATCGTGCGAGGCGGTGTATGTCAACGCGGTGGAACGCGGGTATACGCCAGCAAATGAAACTCAAGGCGCGACGCGTATTTTGAAGATGGTCGTGCAGAGGAAAAGGATCCGATAATCAGCGGCCGGGAACACCCGACAGAAGCAGAGAGCGCCCTACCCCCTTTCGAATGCTGATTATTATCGGGACGGGAATATTCGGGATAGGAACAGAGTGTGTGGAGGTTCGGAGGAATAACTGCAGCGGTTGTCCGGCGGCCGAGAACGCCCAGCAGAGGCAGGGTACGCCCTACCCCCTAGGTTCGTCGGAACAACGCGGTGCGTGCCTGGAGATCGGATCGTTGACGGTTCGTCCGGCGACCGAGAACGCCCGGCAGAGGCAGGGTACGCCCTACCCTCTAGGTTCATCGGAATGAGCGAGTCGCGGAAAACGGTCTCGGAGCACTGACTAGGAGCTGGTGATTCGGAAAGTGTTCTGGATCGGACTGGTAAAGGCAAAAAGGCCTCGTCGCGTAGTCAACGCGGTATTTTATACAGAGCCGCCAGTCTCGTTCGCAATCCTCCGGTCGGCTTCGATATTTTCCGCCGATCGGCTTCTCGTGGGAGAGAAGATTTCCGATCGGCGGTCCCCGGCGACGGTCGGCATCTTCCGACGAGACTGACGGTTTCGGCGGCTGCTGTCCCTGTGAATTATGTTTGAATTTGATTAAAAAATATAATCGGGCGCATCGCAGGCTTGATGCAGCGGCATCCGGCTGGGTGTTGTTGCCGGGAACGACACGTATAAGGGCGCATCGTTACATCTTTATTAAAAATTATTATAAATAGATAATATTCGCGATGCGACACTTTTGTCGCAAACAATATTACAAATTAATCTAACTGTATGAGGTGACTACACCAGAAATGAGTGAAAAGATCCATAATATCGTATTGGATGACCTCAAACTGAAATTGTGTGAACCAGCTGTGGCTGTATACATCTCATCAACGTTTTAATATCTACAGTCTACACGAACATTTGGATGTGAGAAAGCTAACTGCAAGATTGCTATCGGTGCTACTATTGCTATCAATTGCAATCGATCAAAAACGTGAACGAGTTCGCACTTCTTAACATTGTTGGAAATGGTAGGCGCAATTCAAATGAATTTTTGCGTCGATACATAATCGTTGATGAAACATGGATCCACTACTATGCACCTGAATCGAAACAACAGTCGTCACAATGGATTCCAAAGCGTAGAAGTGTTCTGAAGCGACCAAAGAAGTAACAATCGGTTGAGAAGGTTCTGGCCACTGTGTTTTGGGTTGCACATGGAATAATCCTCATCGATTATCTTGAAAAAGGAAAAACAATCACAGAAGAATATTATGCATCATAGTTGGACCGATTGAATGATAAAATCAAGATAAAATGGTCCCATTTAGCGAAAAAAAGCCGTTTTCATCAATACAATATATTAGCTCACAAATCGGCAGAAGCAAAAACAAAATTAAATAAATTGTAGTATAAATTACTCCCACATCCACCGTATATTCCAGATCTGGTCCTGTATGACTTCTACCTGTTTCCAAATCTCAAAAAATTGGATCAAGGGAAAGAGATTTACTTCAAATAAAGAGGTTGAATGGGAAACAGACGCAAATTTTGATGCTTTTGAAACATTATTATTTGGAAGGCTTAAAGTAGTTAGGAAGTCGATGGATTCGATGTATTGAGTTATGAGGAGAGTACGTTAAAGAATAAATCTGTGTTTTGCTAACAAAATGTTTTTTTCATTTTTATTCTAAGGACTTGTCAATTAACAATCTACGGTGTAAAGTTCGAAAGGCTCTGTTAAATATTCATTAAATTATTAACTTTATGACAATCAATCTTGTCATTTCGAATGACAAACAGAACCTGCTTTCAGTAATAACAATAATAATAAATATACGCTTTTTTTCCATAAACCAAATATATATATCAGTAGTACATATAAGTCAGTCTGTACCACTCTTCTTCGTCATACAATATATTGATAGCTAAATTATAATAAATAACTATGCGTCGAAAGATAGAAAACAAACCAACTTAAGTTTTAATGAATGCATAATTCTTAATAAATGGATAGTTAATATTATTAGTTGATGGAGAATTCTTAATAATAAGTCGTATTAACATCTATACAATACAAAAAACACTTATCGAAGATATCAGATGCAATTCAAGTCGCCACATCGTGTCATAAATAAAGAGCATTCAATAAATATCTTAGGCAGAGACCGTAACTGTTATAACCAAAATAAAAAAAGTTAGTAGCATAACAATTATTTTTCTCTTAATATGTTTTCTGGTTATAAATAACCATTATAAATGATTAAAATTATTTTTAGCAGCTAATAACTATTATTGATGTTGGAAATTGTTTTGGTTACAGAGTAACCATTACTGATGGCGGAAATTGTTTTTGGTTATGAATAACCATTATTGATGATCAGAATTTTATTTCGGTTGCGAATAACCGTTATTGATGTCGGAAATCGTTTTTGGTTACGAATAACCATTATCGATAATCAGAATTTTATTTCGGTTATTTAATATAAACATTCGAGAATTCTATTTTGTTCATCCTGTATTCCCTCCATTCCTTCTTCATAAATTTCGAAATGTTTTGCAATCATATGTCTTCTTAAATTTGTAACATCATGTTACTAACATGTGATCCATGGAATTTTGATGCGTGATCTACAAGTGCTTGAAATCATTAATACACAGTTTCTAGATCAGTACAGTAAATAACTGCGAACACGACAGACCACTGTTGCTTCCAAGAATTACGTGTGTTATAGAATAAATGGAATACTATACGGAAGTTATAATTTTAATATAGTAAATAATTATTATTAGTTTATCAGTTCATTTGTAATTTAGTGTTGGTGTTAGTTTTAGTTAATATCGTTAAGTAGATATTACTGTGTATCATGGGTCGAAAACGGAACATGTTTGTTCGAGAATTTTTTCATTTCGACAATGAGAAAGATGAATCTGCATGTAAAACATGTGGATTAAAATTCCATGGGTCACATGTTACAAATTTAAGAAGACATATGATGGCGAAACATTTTGAAATTTATGAAGAAGGAATGGAGGGAATACAGGATGAACAAAATAGACAAGTGCCGAAAAAAAAGAAAAAATTTTTGGTTCAATTCTCTGTGGAAGAAGTAAAAAATGCTTGTGTCGCATTAGTTACAAAAGAATCACAAACTTTTTCACTGTTTGATTGTAACGCTTTTAAAGTCCTTACAGAGCAAATTTTCAAAGGATTAGACCTGCCTATAACAAATTCAAAAAATATAATGAATTATGTTTGTGAAAAATATGAAAATTTGAAGATTGCCATTAAAAAGGCATGCAAAGGACGAATGGTTTCTCTGAAAATGGACACTGCAACAAGACTTGAGCGAGCAGTATTAGGAATCAATGTCCAAATTATTAGACACAATAAAATCCAAATATATAGTCTAGCAATAAAAGAGCTTAGTGGAAAGCATACAGCCGCTAATTTAAAAGAGGAGCTTGAAAATGTTTTGAAAGAATTCGAAATAAAAAAAAGTCAGATTTACTGCATTACGACAGATAATGGAAGAAACATGCTGAAAGCCGTAGAACTGTTTTCTGACGAAAATCTTAATCAATTAGAAAATAATGAAGAAAAAGCCATCAATTCGGAAAATTTCGTTGAAACTGTAGTGGAAAATTTCTGTTCTGAGGAACCAAATATTATATCAGTAAAGTGTGCGGCACATACGTTGCAACTCGTTGTGAAAGATTTTCTTTCGAACACCGATGCCGAAATTATAGATCGCGCACGAGAAGTTGTAAAAACATTAAGAACTCCGACATATAGGTAACTTTATTGTAATATCACGTCCTATTTCATTCGACATACTGCTTTATTGATAATATGTGTATGTTATTTTCTTTTCAGACATTCTCTACAAATATTGAAACTTAAAAAACCACGATTGGATGTATGTACTCGCTGGAATTCGACTTATGATATGTTGCAGCGACTTTTGCAATATAAGACATTTTGTAACGATATTGTAGGAACATCTCGTTTATCAGAACAGGAATGGATTACGATCCAGGACATAGTGAAAGTCCTAAGGCCAGTATATGAAGCAACAATGAAACTTCAGGAGAGTCAGTTGTTAGTGGGAGATTTTTATAAATTATGGATTAATCTTAAACTACAAGTAGACACACTTAGATCAAGTGTAGCTGATGCTCTTTCACATTATTTGGAAAGAAGAGAATCTCAGATTTTGAAGAATGAAGCAGTTAATGCTGCTATTTTCCTAGATCCAAGATTAAAACGCCTTTTGTCATCGGAACGAAAGATTAAAGCTAAAAAGCACTTAAAAAGTATCGCAGCTCGAATGTTTATATTGAATCAGGTATGTATTGAACGTACATCGGTACTTGGTTAATTCTTTCCTAGTAAGGTAATTTTTTCAATTTGAAATTTATTCAATATTTAGAACGATAGAACAATAAATATAACTAACATGGTGGAAAAGGAGGATGCCAACGATAACAATGCGGTGACTGAGGCGACTGACTTTTCGAGTACGAGTAATACTAATTTAACACTATTACGAAATTCCGTTGTGCACATGGAACTAGACTCGTCTACGGACGACGAGCAAGAAGACATGTATTTGCAAGAAATGAAAAAAATGTTTAATGAAATAGATAACTATAAAGAACAACGTATCGATATAGATGCTGATTTAATGCAATATTGGAAAGAAAAAAGATACGTCGTACCGTTCATTACTAAATTAGCAAACATTGTCCATGCTGTCCCCGTTACACAAGTAAGCGTAGAAAGAGCTTTTTCAGCTTTGAAAGTAATGCTTAATGATAAAAGGTATAATTTACCTTCCGAAAATTTACAAAAACTTATGTTTGTTAAACTGAATGATAATAATTAGTAATATACATATATTTGTTGTAAAATAATTAGTGTAATATATTTGTTGTACTCATTATTAATACATATGTTAAGTATTAAATGTAAATTTAAGTTTATACTTAATACCATATTGAAACACAGTGTCTTTTATTTTATCTTTTTTTCATAAATAACGACACCCTTTAATTATTAATTCGTTATAATAAAACTGATAATATAAAATCAACAACGACTAATAGCAATCAGAAAACATGCTCGTATTGCTTGCCGAGAATCAAAGACCTTGGGTAACCGAAATAAAATTCTGATTATCAATAATGGTTATTCGTAACCAAAAACAATTTCCGACATCAATAACAGTTATTCGCAACCGAAATAAAATTCTATTCTGATCATCGATAATGGTTATTCATAACCAAAAACAATTTCCGCCATCAGTAATGGTTACTCTGTAACCAAAACAATTTCCAACATCAATAATAGTTATTAGCTGCTAAAAATAATTTTAATCATTTATAATGGTTATTTATAACCAGAAAACATATTAAGAGAAAAATAATTGTTATGCTACTAACTTTTTTTATTTTGGTTATAACAGTTACGGTCTCTGATCTTAGGACATAATATAAAGACATAACATTACAAGTGTAGTATCTGGCGCTAGTTATATTAGTTATTTCAGTTATGCTAGTAATATAGTATGTTACCGATGGCGCCACTCATGTGTGTTTCCTATCTTATGATTATTCATTCTAATTCACCGTTACTTAACGACTACTTTTGTATCAGCTTTCATATTACTATTTTATTATCAGTATTAATAAATATATCATTTGCATCGGTTGATCACCTCTATCATTAATTCCCTCGGAACATCTCATATTGGCGACGAGGTCTAAAGGTTTAAAGGTTTAAGGTTATATACTTATTATAATTGAATAACTACCAAGGCGGTAGGTTAAGAGGTTAGAGATGCCGAACGATTTCGAAAAAGAATTGCAGCAGCAGTTGCAGAAAGCACAGGAACAAATGATTGAACAACAGCAAGTACTTGATCGTAGAAGGAAGGAACAGGAACAATTTAAAGCTAATTGCAGCAAGATCAATTGCAGTTGATTGAGTGGCAAAAGCAATTGCAACAACAGAAAGGTGAGATTCAACTGGTGCAACAGAATCAGTCGATGCAAGTAAATGAATGCAGAGAACAAGTAATGCCAAGCGTTACATTTTATTCTACTATTGGAGCGTTATCAGAATTTCGCATAGGTGAAGATTGGAATCTTTATCAGGAACGTCTTGGGCAGTACTTTGTTGCGAATCAAGTATCGCAAGAGCGTAAAGTAGCGGTATTAATAACTCTGGTAGGACAAGAAGCATATAAAATCTTAAAGGACCTTTGTGACCATGTGTTACCAGAATCCAAGCCTTATGAAGAACTTCGTGAAATTTTAAAGAAGCAATTTGAGCCTAGAGTGTCGATTTTCAAGGAGAGAATCGAATTCCATAATTTGAATCAAGTAGAAAAAGAATCAGTTAATGAATGGTTCGCTCGAATCAAAAATAAAGCAAACAATTGTAAATTTGGTGCACAATTGGACGACAACATTAAAGATAGGTTCGTGGTCGGATTAAAAAAAGGGAAAATTTTAGACAGAGTTTGCGAAGAAGATCATACGGCAATGTTTCAGTCTATTTTGGAAGTGGCCAGAAAGAAAGAAGCTGCGTTGGCAACGTCATCGAAGGCTGGTACGATGGACATTCACAGCATAAGACAAGGGAAAGCCAAGGTGGCTCATAAAAAAAGAACGGGACATGAGAAGTAGAAAGCAGCAGGACAGCATCAAGATTCAGCAGAGGAACTGAAGTGTGTGTATTGCGGCGGCACTAAACATATTTTCGCAAAGTGCAAGTACAGTGTAATAATGTATAATGCGTATAAGTGTAAGATTTGTAATAAAGTAGGGCATTTGGCTAAAATTTGTAAAAGCGATAAGAGTACAGTATCTAATACAAATTATTTAGAGTCAGAATAAAAAAATAGCGAGACGGAAATAGTGGACATGTATAATTTATGCAATGTAGTTAACAGCGAGAAACCTTTAATGATTAAAGTTAATATCGAAGATCAGTTCATTAATATAGAATTAGATACAGGTGCGGGTAGATCGGTTATACCAGAAAAAATTTTTAAAGAAAAATTTAGTCAGTGCAAATTAGAAAGCTCTAAAGTTAGATTAAGAATGTATGATGGAAGTATTTTAATTCCGGAAGGGTGTGTTAAAATTAAATACAAGGAAAAAATCGTTAATGCCTATTTAATTGTTGTAAGAAAAGGAAGTAGAATATTAATGGGCAGAGATCTAATGAAACTTTTAAAAATTGAGATAGTGTCTTTGTATTTGTTAGAAGAGAACATTAGTCTGGAAAGATTATTACAAGAGTATAAAAATTTATTTAAGGATGAACTTGGTAAATATAAATTTGAAAAAGTTAATCTTAAGTTAACGCGAGAGGCAAATCCGATTTTTGTCAAACCAAGGCCAATACCTTTAGCATTCAAAGAGAAAGTAAGCGAACAGCTGAATGAATTAGAGAAAAAAGGAATAATCGAATTAACAGATAATTCAGAGTGGGGTACACCGTTAGTGCCAATCATTAAGAAAGACGGTAGTATTAGAATTTGTGCGGATTATAAAGTTACAGTTAATAAGTACATTGAAGATGTTAAACATCCTTTGCCTAGAATTGAAGAGTTATTTGCGGCATTAAGCGAAGGAGAATTTTTTACTAAATCAAGAGACACGGTAGTGTCTCGCGCCAAGTAAACGCGAAGCGCGAGACCGCACGTGTATCTTTACGCGAGTCGATGAGTTCCGTGTACCCGAGATTATCGGATCTCATAATAAATGGCTGAATTTATCAACTTTTATATATCCGTAATTTAAAAAATATGTAAATAATCCGTAATTTAATTTTAGTGTTTAAATTATATTATAAATATGTTTTTATTGTCTATATACGTACCCTATGAAGGAAGATATCTCGATGTGAAGATGAAATGTCAAAAATTTTAACATCGGAAATGTTGTCCTTTTCACGTTTTAAACGGCAGACGGCGCTTGCTATCATATTTTATTTTATATCGATTAGCTGTCAATGTAATGACATTAGATAGATAAAAATCAACGATGGCAAAGGAGGATTTTTGTATCCTGTTATAAAGCAGTCAATGTCTTGAAAGTTCACGGAAAAAGTGTTCGAGACTATGCTTTGAACTGTACTGTCGCCTCTCAAGTAATGCCGAAGAGGATAACGGACGTGAAAATCATGCTAAAGCTACAGGTGCGCAATTTCTAACTTTGCTAACCAACATGGAAGGAGAGGAGAGTTTTGATGCCAGTTTTATATATAAATTCACATGGAATTATAATGTTACGTCCAGACGATTCTCACGATTCTTTCTTCCGGAAAGGTCTACAAGTGACGAGATAGCGAAACCATAAATAAATAACCGACAGTCTGGCTGTCGTCTTACCAAAAATCTAAACAAAAGTACTCGCTATCTCGCCATAAAAATTATTTTAAGACAATTCATTTACGAGCGTACGTGCACGAATTTTAAGAACACGAATCATTTCCTCGAAGTCTCAGCTAGAAAAAGTAATAAATATACACTCTACTTTCACCGAAAACAGTAAAGCCATTCACTCTACTGTCAGCCAAACTGCGAATGATTCTCACAAGTTGCGCTCGTAAAAATTAAAATCTGTTATACAGCGAGCCTCGCGAGAAAGGGGGCACGTGCATTTACTCGATGCGGCCCCTCACGTACATTAAACAGATAAGGCCATAAAACTTAAGATAGCGGTGACATCGGTCAAACTCCTTCCCGCCCACAAGACGTGTCCTAACTCCCAACCAATCCTAGGGCTAGAAAACTTAGCCCTTTGTTTTACCGACAAATTTCTCCTCCCATCAGAGCCCGACAAATCAGGGGGAATCAGTATAAAAGCCCCGATTTTTGGGTGCTCGCGGCAGTTCATCGCAGTTTTTCGAGTCGTCAAGGGCAATTGTCCGTGTCGTAAGACCGAGTCGATTGTCTGAGACGCATCTCGGAGCGAGTCAGTTTGCCCGTGCGTCGGTCAGACGCTTAAACCTTCGTCGGTTTTATCCGGACGATACAGTGTCGCGGTGGTTGTTTAACATTAACTACCAGAGTCGTCCATTGCTCACAAGGCCTCAGCAACATACCGGGTACTGACTACCAGCAACGGCACTGATTGTGAGATCCAGTACAATCAAAGAGCATCTCTTCAAAGATTCTACCGACAGTAAGCCTGCAATTTTTTATTATATACTAAATCGAGTAGAAAAATTACTATCGAACTCGATTTTCATTTTTGACGAAAAGAGACCTAATTATCGTGGCTCTCAAACCGCCAACAGACCGACCATACGAATAGCAATGTTTCAGCCAATAATTAGCAGACCCACCAAGCAACTGACCGAGCCGCCACTCACCTCTCATCATCCTTCCAACTTACCGAATTTTCCTACTCCCCTGTTTCAAGTCCCCTGTCTCCTCCTGATTCCACAATCGCCACTCTCCTGCCAATACGTCCTTCCCCTCTAGAACCTTGCCCACTAACTCTCCATATTCTTTAACCGACTCACCACACACACACACGTATATGTACACCGTATAATTTAGAAATTACAATAAATTAATTATGTTAATTATATCATTAATCTATAACCTATATGTTATTATTTTATTTCATTTAATAAATAATATTTCGATGTTCTTATTATATTAAAGATTACGATTGTGATTTGATTTAAAAGCAACCTTCCCCGCATTCCAACCGTCATCCCCGAGATCGCACTGGGTCCATATCCCTGGCTATAAGGATTGAGTTCCTTGGCCTAAATTTAAAGGACCAACGGGCGTACGGTTCGGGATAAGAGTCATAGTGTGCCGTATACAAGTATTATAGTATGGCACACTGACCTAATTCCGTACCCTTTTTAGTGCGTCCGACTGTCTCTCGTAACCCTCCGCATGGCGAGACGATCGAGAGACACATCTGGTGTCAGTTACGTTCTTCCAAGGCCCTCCTCCTTAACCCAGAACTTCCCACGTAATAAAAATCCTGAGGCTTGGACATAACAATAATTGGCACCTAAGATACAGTTCGATCGTTAAAGTCATTTTATTGGTTGTATTTCTCACGGTCCTATAAGATTTAATATTTAAATATTGTTTCTTTTTTAGTTTAAGACCAAAGGCACGCACAGCGAGCTTTAT